AGTTAAGAAGCCTCAGCACTGTTTTAAAGCGCCTCAAGGAAATCATGGAGGGGAAGAGCCAGGTACTTCTTCTGAGGAATTTGTTAGCCAAACTGTCTAGAAACTCAACTGTTTACTGGACTTCTCTGAGCTTCATTTTTAGATACATCGTGGGGATATTTTCAGATGTTTGAAGGATGAGTGAATAAACTAAAAAATCATTGTTTGAGTGCAGGGGAAACAATTTAAGGTGGATGCTGACTTTTGACATGTCGAACATCTGTCAAGTGGGAGTGAAATATTGCAGTTGCTCAGCTTCTTGAACTTGGACCAGCTGCTTTCATTTTAGACTCCTTCCCGCTTTTCTATTACCTAACCTAGTATTACCTGATGGTTTTCTCCCTTGAAGGTTAACTGTGGTCAGGTGGAACACATTGACTGTCACAAATAGTAATAAGAATTCTGATGATGAATTAAATCTGCTACTTACTGTATTAATGATTGGTCATCAATATTTGCTTGAAAGGCTTGTCCTGTTAATCAATTCTAATTATGCTGGATAAGGATCTGGTGGTTGCTACTGGCTTGCTGATTTCACCTCCCTCTGCTGTGCTGGACAACACAGTCATGTGCAAGGGGACAGAGGCAGCACTGCTTGGAACAGATGCTCTCTCTGTGGCAGAACCAGAGACTTGGCTTATCCTGCAGAGGTGCAACAAAAACTGTTAATCAGCATCCCCTGCAACCTTGCAGTAGTTCTTTGGCAAAGCTCTTCATTGCATCTTTCCCTGCTTTAAGATTAGTGTTCATCGTAAAAATTTCTAGACTCTCTTGAATGCTGGGCTGCCTTGAGCAGTCTTCAGCCTCTTTCTGTATGAGTTTTTTTCAGTGAGGACAGCACTAAATTGTTGTCTTGTTGTTCGTAGCTGTTTTGGTGTCAAAATTGGTCTATCAGCTATGTCAAACATCACTTTGTGAACATGTAAAAATAAACCCCAATGCTTTTTTTTTTTGGTTATGTGAATATTGGAGCATGGATCACCTTTCTTCTCTGTGATTACTCTCTTCTTGGGTTGTTTTGAGAAAATTCTTGCAGCACTTTCTCTTCCTATGAAAAACCCGGAGTAATCAGTCCCTCTGAAAAGGCTTGTTGCCAGAACTGAACTCTACTGAAGAGTGTTTCACAGTCAGAGTTGCCATGTGATCATTAGCAGTTGTCTCCATCCATGGTAATTGTAGCTAGTGTGCTCAGAATCATAATTGAGAGATTTGTCTTGCTCTGTTTATAGCTACAACACCAAATGGAAATGTTAACTCTTTGTTTTCCAATCTTAAAAAACAGACAAAAATTCCTGTGGCTGCACCCATGCTGTAAATCAGTATATGTTGTTTTCTGCTGAACGTGTATTCCACAGTTGTCTTCACATAGCAGTTAACCTGGAGTTTTCAAATAACGTCAATCGGAGACACAGGCTTTTACAACTGTTTACTGAAGTTTTGAAGAATTTGATCATATAAGAAAACTTTTTACATTTACCTATAATGCTTTCAAAGTACACCCCAGTATTAGCTGTTAAATGATCTTCCTGCGCTGATAATTCCTGATAACTTGATTTACCCCTGGATAAGAGTTTCAAGCTTCAACTAATGTGTAGGGTGAGGGTTTTTTTTGTTGTTGTTTGGTTTGTTTTTGGGGTTTTTTTTTTTCATAACTGTGCCTGTTGAGGGCCTGTGATGTGCTAGGGGCAAATGAGAGGGAAGAGCAATCAGTACTTTGTATGATTGTTCCTTCTTGACCTTTATCTACAGCTCCTGATAGTTTTTATCTACTTTGCTTCCATCTTGGATCAAGGAGGCAAAGGCTTACTAGATTTATTCTCAGAGCCCTATAAAACTGCATGAAAAATCTTTTCTGTGCGTATGTGTGCTTATACACAAGGGTGTGCACACACACACATGTGAATATATGAAATTGTCCTTTTCATGTGCACAGTCTACAAAGTTATCATGAATCTAAACATGCTTTTTTTATTTACAAGAAAGTTTTTCTCTGCTGCCTTCCCTTGTAGGATAGTGACTTGAAGCAGTACTGGATGCCTGACAGCCAGTGCAAAGAATGCTATGACTGCAGTGAGAAATTCACCACCTTCCGACGGAGGCACCACTGTCGACTTTGTGGGCAGATCTTCTGTAGTCGATGCTGCAATCAGGAAATCCCTGGAAAATTCATGGGCTACACAGGTAGGGTTTGTCTGCTGAGAAGCAGAATGTTCTCTGTGTGCTCAGCTCTGTTTGAACTGCTGCATTTTAGACTCTGGCATCTGCTAGAGAATGCTGTACAGGTCTCTAGTGGGCTTAGAAATAAGCAAAAAGAGTTGCAGGACATAATTCTACCAATTTCTTAATGCACAGTGGTGGATTATGACATGCCTGCTTATTTTTATGAACCTTACACTCATGATGACAAAAAAAATATGGCTACTATTTAACAAGGATGTTCACTACAAGAAGTGTGCTCAAGTAAAAGCTGCTCTTAGTAATGGTAATTTGAAAATGTAATGAGCTGTGTATTCTAATTGAGGGTGAGGGAAACTCTTTCAAATACAAATTACCAAACTCTAGAATATCTCCTGATGGAGCTAATGATTTCCAGACATCAGCTGGTACATCATATCTGACTGGCTGTTGTTGTACCATGATTTCAGTGTGCACATGTGCTCTCTCTCACCACTCCTGCAACTTGTCTGTTACTGATCATGTGTTTTGCATAATTTGACTTGGAAAAAATGCCCTGAGTGTATAATTTTCTGGGGTTTTGCTCTTTAAGGGAATATGAGAACTAGACTTAAACATGCAAAGAGGTTTTGAAACAGGAAATCCTTCTTTTCCCACCACTATACGACTATACACCTCGGATCCTGTAGGAACAGAGTACTCTTTGTTCCTGTTCACTTACACTCTCTGGTTCCCCTTTCCATAGGGGATCTCCGAGCCTGCACTTACTGTCGCAAAATAGCCTTAAGCTATGCACACTCCACAGACAGTAACTCCATTGGAGAAGACTTAAATGCTCTGTCAGATTCTGCATGTTCTGTATCAGTGCTGGATCCTGGCGAGCCACGCACACCAGTTGGGAGCCGTAAAGCTAGCCGCAACATCTTTCTGGAGGAGGATCTAACCTGGCAAAGGTAAAGTGAATGGCTTCATGCTGAGCTCCAGATTCTTAACTGTGTTTTCAGGCTGACACGTGCCTAGACAAAAGCTGTTGGTTTCCAGGTAGGAAACTTAGAAGTATATCTCCTGTAAAAAGAATCTAATCTGTGCTTGCTTCTAATAGTCTTCTCTTGAAGTTGAAATGTGGAAACTTTTCTAGTGGAATTTTAAATTATTTGCAGTTCTTCCTTTAATCTATTGAATCAGTGATTCTGTACCAGGGATAGGGTAGGCTTTTAGCTTCAGAGTTTAAAAAGACAAAACCAGAAAACATTCCTTCCAGCCACCAGTGTATTGAGAGGCAAGTCACTGTAACACTGATGCTCTATCTGTCAGGTTTTGGGTTGAACAAGAGAATATAAGAGATACTGTCTATGTAAATAAAAGAGAAATGGTGGAAGTAACCACCTGCTTCAACTGAAGTGGGATTGAAAGGACAGCTGTAAATGTTCTCTGATTTCCTTTCCTTCTTATTGCTCTTGAATGAGGGGGTCTTAATTTTTGGAAGATGAATAAAAGAACACTGTACTACTTCTGAAGTGGTATGCAAGTTAATTTCTGAGGACTTAGATTTAATTTATTGTAAGGGGAGGAAGAAATAATCAGATGTGGTGTTTGTGCTCATTTCCCTAAAAACAGAAGAACAGATAGATGTGAAACTACTGAGGCGATCTTGAGTCAGAACCTTTCTTTAACTGAGGGGTAGTGTTAGTGGCGTGTGCCTGTCTCATCAGATCTTTCCTAGTGGTTCTGATAGTATTAAAAGAAAAACCTCAAAAACAGCTGTCTTCAGAATATGCCCTAACTCTTGCTTTGCATGTTGCTTTTCAGAGTATGGTGCTCCTATATGGAAGCAATTAAATAATCAGCTTTAGGCCTAAATAAAGGAAAGTACTTCTGGTTTAATGTCATGGTCATCTAAAGCAGTAATATTGCAATGCTTGGGATAAATACTACAAATTTTGAATTGGGGAATAAGTATGTGCACTCAGAATGCTTCTCTTTAGTTGCACAAAATAATAGAAGGTATCATTGATTCTGTCTTCTGATGTGTTATTAGTTATCTTTATAATGGCAATTCAACAGCTTTTAGGTATGAGCGTAGAAAGAAAGTATTGGTATTTTAATTTTGGGCAGCTTGTAACACTCCAGAAAAATACTACCTATTCCTGAAAGGCTGATGACTCTTTCTATACTAGAACACTTAATCTTGTTGGGAGACACTGAGTAAACATGGGCTGCTTTTGTGTGTAAGAGGGAGAGAGATTGAAATTAGGTAGTTTATTCTTGCTTTAGGAGGATTTAAATTTTCTTCAGTGCTTGTTGCTTGTAAATTGTAAAAATTTGCAGTGGGTTGCAGTGCTTTTTTAAATACTGGATTTGATAAGTTCCTGATTGACCTTCAGAGGTTTTAACTCAAGACAGTGAACTTAACACAGCACCACGGTGGAAAATTGCAACTCACAGCTTCACAGTGGAAGCAATTTTTTTTTTTTTCTAGTATGTGGCTTCTGTGTGAGTAGTTTGCTTCAGAAGAAAACTTGGGAGTTGAATTTCTTCCCAAAATAATGTATCTGAGATAAGGCGCTTCCCTCTCCTGTCATATGCTGCAAAGCAGAGAGAAAAGCATTTAGGGGAGTGATGCTGTATTTACTTGTCTGATGTTGCTCTGCTCTTCGAGCAGTTGGAACATAGAGGCATAGGCTCCTGCTTTAACTAACTTGAAGGGCCATGTCCTTTAAGGTGAAGGAGTGCTGTACTCTGGGCAAGTACAGCTACTCAGGCAAAGTTGGATTGCATACATTTTCTCATGAAGAGTGCGTGTCATGCTAGTAATGTGTCTACATCCCAGAGCACCACCAGTATGGCTATATCAGTTGGAGTGTAGTTGCTTATATCTGATACAGTTTTGTCAGCAGGAATTTATGTTGATGGTGTACGAACATCTGCTCTCCTTCCTCCTAGGAAGACTTCCTGGGAAGGAAAAGGAGGTCAAAGGTGATAGTGATCAGGTTAAACAATTACAGAAGGTTGTCAGGCTATCATGGTAAAAGCTGTCTAGCAACAGCTATAGATAGCATTGCTTGGATTGCAAAGATGATGTGTTGGGGAGGTGAGGGCAATGCCTCTACCTACAAAGCATGGAATAGCAGCCTGTGAGGAAGGAGGATGTGTAAGAAAGGCATATAGGGGAAGAGAGCAGGAAGGCAGGATAATACAAGAAGTGGGACGAGTCTGTTTTGTCCAAGACTTGAGTCTAAAGGAAGAAGACTTGAGCACTATCATCCAGAATATCATTGGTCTACAGAAGGGGAAAGATTTCCTTATTCCCTCATTAATTTAACAGTCAAGGGTGTGAATGAGAGGTAACATTATAATTAACTGTATCTTAATTCCAGCTGTTCTGATGCTGTTGCATGTGGCAGATCTCTCAAATATCTGTAACATGCTCTTTTTCCTTGCAGTTTGATTCACCCAGACTCTTCAACTACCACATTGTCTGCACGCTTGGGATCTGTCCAGGAGGATGCGGGGAAGTCACCAGCTAGGAACAGGTGAACTAATAATATCTGAGTATTTTCTGGTTTGGATGCAGTTGTAGCACACTCTCCACTGTAAGGCTTATATTTTGGGGCTTATTTTTACTGAGCATGCTGTTTCATGTCTGAAGTGGGACACCCTATTACCCATTTGTAATATTAAGGAAAAACCATTTATGTACATATTAATCTTAATAAATGTACCACATTTGGCGAACCTGTAGTTTGCTGCTGAATCAGTCAAATAAGTGGTGGTGAAGAGGACAGAAAGGGAAAGAAATGGCTAAGGAAGGTAGAGTTCTGAGGAAGCTGAAGAAAAGGCAGTAGTAGAGACTTGGTAATGGGAGGCAAAGAAAGGTCATGGGGGAGCAGAGGTGTAGGTTTTTTGGTTTTTTTCCCCCTACCTCCTCTGTCTGCTCCCTCTGCTCTTCCATGTAGTATGATCTTGTTCAATTTACCAGGCTTCCTTAGGCTAAAATCCCATCATAGGTCTTTATGCAAGAGTGCTGGAATGAACTTGGAAATGTTCATGAGAGCTTTAGTATCTAAGTTGTGAATGCTTGAGCCTAATCCCACTAATTAGACTGGTATTAGAAGAACAATTAATTTCCACTTCATAGTGGAGCTTCTGCTATGGTCTGGTTGCATACTTCCATTATGGTTAAATCGGGGAAATAAAAGTGATGCAAGGGTATGAGGAACAGCAAAGATAATCCACATTTCAGTATTGGAGTCAGAAGGTGTTCAGAGACTTCTTTGCATTGGTGTTACAGGAATGCAGAATGTTAAGCAATTTGGAGGGATCTGGTGGGACCAGTGAAGACTAGGGAACTCAGAAGGATACTAGGTGTGCCTTTCAGGGAGCAGGCTGCTTGGAGTCTTTATCTTCTGTGTGATGGGGATGGTTAGGAGGAGATACACACTGTACAGCTGAGAACCAAAGATCTCACCTAGGAGGAGTAAAATACTGGTGAATAAAGTAGTATCAAAAATCGATTCTGGGCAAACCTGGCAAGGAGTCCAGAGTTAAAAGTTCAATGCTGAACAGCTGCAGTGATGTCAAGAAGTGTCTGAAATCTTGAGAATGCTCTCCTGCTTCCTGTTTGAATTGATGTTGTCTATTTTAAAAGGCCTTTGCTGTTTGCTCACACATGCAGTAGTAGGAGGTTTCTAAGCTGGACCTGGCAGGCCCAAACTGCTCATTCAATTTAAATTTTAACTCTCTGGATATTCATGGCCTCACCATAGTATTTACCTGTCTGGACTCACATTTGAGAAGTAATGATGAGGTATAACCTATCTCTGTCAAAATTCTGAACCTGCGGAAACAAAGCTATTGGCTTTGGGCTAAACATTGCCAGCCTTTAGATCTTCTCAAATCAGCTGTAGATGTTTCTTTGAGGCAAGCAGGACCATGCCTCTTTCTAGATGAGATGAAGCAAAAAAGATGCAGGTTGAGTGCATTTATATGCAGGTAGCAGAGGTTACTTCGTATTATTTATTTTCCTTGTGAGTGGGGATGTGTGTCAGGTTTTTTTTTTTTCAGACAGATAATTCATGGGGAAAAAAACAGCACAATAGTCCAATGTTGCAAGCAGAGGGATTTGAACTTCTTTGCAGGTCCTTCTAAAGCATAGGGCTTTTCATTGCTAAGTCTCCCCCTCTGTTTTTAGAAAATATAGATACAATAAAGGCCCAGATGTAACTGGTGATGATAGACACAGATATGAAATCTGACTGTTCTAACTCTTACTTAATACCCTTTGACACAAATTAAAAATCCCTGCTGCTCACAGGTAGGTGGCACAATTAAAGTAGCTGTTGTGAAACAACTGGATGATGGGCTTTCATGTCAGTCTCATCACATAAGAATGCTTTCTGTTAAGCTGCATAACTGACAGTTCTAACTTTCTTTAACTTGAGAGCATCTGGACACTAGAAGACTGACAGAGTTTTAGCCCGCCTTGAATGCCTGGCTCTGAGTTTTTGCTTAGAACTCCTGAATGTGGATGTAGTGCCAACGTAGTTTCCTTTGATTCTGCATAAATGACTAAATAGGACTTAACTAGAACCATTTATCAGCCCAGTATTCCCCCTCAAGAGACAGAGGAAAAGCAGTGATTTTGAGACTATTGTACCTTCAGTGCCTACTTCCTTGTAATACAAAAGCTGAAATAGGGTGGCATTGCTCTTTCATGCCTTGGCTCAGCCACATCATCCATTGAGAATTCTTGGGAATAGTTAGGGTGTCTGTTAGCCAGTTGGCAAGCTCTGTGAAGTTATCTGAGTTTCATTCCAAAGACTAGAGGCTGGCAACAGTTCTCATCACTGAGATTACTGTAAGCCTCTTGAGTCAGTTCAGCGTTGTCATTTTGAGCTTCCCTGTTGCTGTATGCAGAAGTGTTTTCCTTAGAGCGCTGTTAACATGAGTAGCTCACACTGCATGCTTTTTGCTGCTGCGTGATGAGAAGTTGCACTCTGGTTATTCAGAGGCTTAGTCTAGTTGTGGGATATTGGAGCAGAGGGTATCTGGAACTTATATTTGCATTTATAGCTTCACAACAATTATTGCAAAATGGTGTGTTTGTACTGGAATTCATAGCCAAGATTTCCTAACAGCTGGGCTGAGATCAGGTGGATGCTCCATATTGCAGTACAAGGAAAGTTGCCAACTGGAGTGACCTCCAGCTTCAGCAGGCAGTTTAGCTGCCCTAGAGAACACATGCTCAAACTTCCAGATTCTGCAAGCTATCAGCCATGTATTTCAGAGAGCTGAGGAGAAGGAATTTTAAATGGGTCAAGGACAGGGGGAATCTCAGTGCTCTCTTACTGGTGTTGGCTGCCCTTGCTGACATCTGTCTTGCCTCCAAACTGCTGGAGCTTCTAATTACCCAGCATCCCATCCCTTCTCCAGTCTATTCAAATAGAGACATGCATGCATTGCTGTGACTAAACTTAGTTCTGACTGCTTTTTACAAAGAGCTTTACAAAAGTTTATATTTAACTTCTATGTTCCAAAGCAATACACTTGCTTCCTAGGGATCCTTTCTTCCGCTTTGATGGAGGAGGAAGCTTTAGGCAGTAAGTCTGTACTGAGGAGAATGAACAATGTCACAGGCTTAAGTTGGCTTAAGTTACTTTTTAGCATGCTACAAGATCAATGCCTGCTCTGGTGAAGCACCAGACAATGAACACTTAAATTTTTCTCTCTTCCACTACAGATCAGCCAGCATCACTAACCTGTCACTGGATCGGTCAGGTTCACCGATGGTGCCTGCCTACGAGACATCCGTCAGCCCCCAGGCCAGTCGCACGCATATGAAGGCAGAGAGTAGCGAGGATGAGCGCAAAATCCTTCTGGTACCTTTCTGTTTGTCTTACTCTGTGAAGGCAGTGAAGTTTGCCTTTCTTGTATCATGCAGCAGGAGTATCTTGCTGCCTTTGAAAGCTCTAATCTGAATGCTCTTACCTGCACTCCTCCTTGAGGTGTTGCAGGGATGGAGAATATTGATGCTGCTTTGGACACTTCCGTCTTCCTGAGACACATCATAGTTTCATGTGGTGTTTGCATAAAGGTGTTTACAGTTTTATTCTTGGGAAGTCTGAGGAGTTGGTGTATGGTGGCTCCTTGTGGGTTAAACCTGTCATGGTTGCAGCTGTAATGCAATGACCTGATTCTGTATTTCTCCAAGTTCAGATTTTCCATTTCATAGGCCTCATAATCAGAAACTTGAAATGGCTGCTTCAAAATGGTTACACCATGATGAATGAGTTAAAGCTGTTACAGCTTATTGGGCCAAAACATAGCTTGGCCCTTCCCCTTGTTTGCAGAATAAATACAACATTTTGTAGAAGGTTGTAGTGACGTATTTGTTCAGAGAAAAATCAATATGCAACAGTGTTCTGTGTAATCCTAATATCCTCTCCCCACAAAGGCAGTGTTGTAGGTGGCAGTTACTGTACAGTGTTTGTAGAAAACAGTGTTTCTTTTCTTTGAGGGAGGGGAAGTGTTTCCAACAAATGGGGCAAAAAAGATGCAGAGAAGGGAAGGGAGTGTTTTTCACACATTAAAAGATTTAAGATTGCTCCCCATTGACAATTTAAATTGGGAAAGGCTAATTTCTGTGTTAGCAGGTATTTGCCTTCTGTCAGCAATATACATACAGGTATTCCCGAGGGTGCAGAAACACTAGTTCCTCTTCAGTTGCACAACTCCTTTCCAGGGTGCTCTGTAAATGGATAACCATATGAGGGAGAAACATTTTACAGGCATGTCTTTACGCCATGCTGCCCAGTGCATGTATGTTAATGCAGGAAAAATGAAATGTAAAATGCTATGAATGCAACTTGAACCAAGATGATCAAGTCCCAGCGCACTCCAGCTTCACATGGTTTAATTTTTTATCTCTTTCCTTCCTTGAGGGAGAAGAGGATTAGTAGTATTGCTTCTGTTCATGTAAAAGCAGAAGATGCAGTGTCAATTAATGCAGGATTTTCTGTGTATTCCCACTGTTTGTTTAATGGCCTTAGCACATGGAACTGACTATGTCAGGAGTCAATTTAAAGCTTAACGCATGCCATTCAGAAGATTAATGAACTTTGCTCATGAAATAAAAGGTAGAGAAGGATGTACATACACTGGGGCAAGCACATACTTCTGTGAACCAGAGGTCAAAATCCTTGAGTTGAAAGGATTTGCTGTGTTCTGCCAGTTTGTCCAGTTTACTGAATTTGCCATGTGAGTTAAGGGCAAACTACAAGGCAGCTGAACTGTGGAATTGCCAGTTGCATCAAATCTTGTGATCCTGTGACATGTTCTGTTACTGATCCATTTGACTCTGCCTGGTATGGAGTGAGACCTGCTGACATTGGTTTTAGCGTAATACCCAGGACAGCCACTGCTGGAAATGAAAGCAGAAGCCAGTCCAGTAACAGAAGTGAAGCAAAACTCTTCGATCTCAGGGCACCCTTGGGAAAGTACAATAGTGTGGGTCTGGCAGTCAACTGTAAAGCTGAAACCAGTTAAAATTTAATTAAAGCTTTTTTTCCCCTCTGTTACACAAAAATAGAACGAGTCAGGCATTTGAGAAAGTGATCCTCAGCATCCCTTCTCCATCCCTCGAGGTGCTCTGTTGCTCTCTCAAAATAATCCCAGGTCCCAGTTTCCACTCTGCAGCAATGCATTGTGCTGTGCCAAGCCAGGGTGCATATGGGAAAGCAAAAGGGGCCAGGATGGAGCATAGCTTACACAAGAGTTGGCGCACATGCTTAACAGGCCCAAAAATAAGTTCAAGGTATAGGCTGAAGTGTTCCAAGTGATGAGGGGACAAGATCCACAGATTCAGAAATGGTTAATTGAGTGGGAGGGGTACACACCTTTTTTCTTAGTGGTCAAATCTAGCAGTGTCTAAAAAAGGCTTGATGCTGGACAATAAAAAAGGAATCCTCAATAAGAAATGGTATCCCAGAACTTGAACATAGCAGTGTGCATTGCTGTGTCAAGTACTTGCTTTTTATCTGGACTTGATAGGGGACTAGCATGCTTCACAAAGCCTAGACTGAGCACAGATTATATAGAAAAACCCTCTTTCAAAGGATGAGTTTTCATTGTCCTTTATATTTACACACACCACCTGAGTTTGAGAATAGGGTGCAAGAGGGCAGTAGTGAGGACATAAGTCTCTTGAGGGCAGTACAAAATCTTGCCACATTAAAAACAAAAACCACTTAACTCTGAGGGTACCCACTTTGTTTCTTCCTTGTTCTCAACTTTATATAAAATGAAGGATATAAGGAGCTGATCTCATGTCTGTTTGCTGTTTCTGTTTGTACCTTCACATAGGTTGTGCAGAATGGCTTAGATTTTGTGCCTGTTTGTGGAGGGCTCTTGATTTAGGAGCTGATTTGAGGGCCCAGGTTGATGCCCTTGAAACCAGTGCTAAAGTCAGACTAGTAAGTAACTTGCATATATTCCTGTCCAGGACTCAGTCCAGCTGAAAGATCTGTGGAAGAAAATCTGTCATCACAACAGTGGGATGGAGTTTCAAGACCATCGCTACTGGCTACGGACGCATCCCAACTGCATTGTGGGAAAAGAGCTCGTCAACTGGCTCATCAGAAATGGGCACATAACGACAAGGTAACCCTGATGCTTTAGGACAGCAGGTGTGTTCTGTCTCTGTGACAGGAGGTTGTGAGTTTTGGCTGATACAGGGTACCTTAGACTGCAGGGATAAACCCCTTTGCAGGGACATGAGAAAGAAAGAAAATTCAGATCTCTTCTTTACCGCCTACCAAAGCAGGTAGGGTTTTGACTCTGTGTGATCCAAGACAACAGGGCACAAGGCGCTGTCTGGTTTGGGAGTTGATGTGGGAGGCAGCTTACGGGACAAGTATCACTCAAACAGTTGGAGAACAGTGAGTGTATTACAAAGACTGTCCAGAAATTTTCACTGATACTCCAAAGGGCAGGTCTGCCTCTGGGATCAGAGATCACTAATAGTGTTTGATGGCTAAATTTTTGGTGGGACTGGCAGGCTCTTAACCTTGTAAGTGAATATAAAGAATCTGGTGTATTTAACTATGTGAGATGGGATAAAATGGAGATGGTTCTTAAGTGTAGAGCAACAGTCGTCATTCAGCAGAGATGCTCAGTATGTATAACTCAAGCTAACGATAATGGAGGTGCACAAACAATATGTCTTAATCATCTGTTGGGCACCCCAGCTGAGTTTAGTGTACTGGCAGTCTCTTCACCTAGCTCCATACTTGAACCAGTACACTCTGCTGCCCCTCCACAATATTTTAAATAGTGTCTGGTTAAACATGGCAGTAGGATACTGATGAGTCAAATAGTGTGTAGCAAACAAAACTTTCCTTTTGTAGCATGCTTGTACCCTAAACCATGTGTGTTTAGAACTAAACTTAGAACTAAATGTCTCTATTCTTCTATCTCCAGAGTGCAAGCTATTGCAATAGGACAAGCATTGGTTGATGGACGCTGGCTAGAATGCGTCAGTCATCATGATCAGCTCTTCAGAGATGAGTATGCTCTCTATAGACCCTTACAGGTAAAAGGAGTAGAAAGGCTATGGTTCTTGCTTGGTTTGACTGCTAACGAGAGTCTTTTCTAATCCTGTCCTCAGCAGCCATTGTATGTTTTCTAAATCAGCTCTCCTGTACAGGGAATTGGGGTACAGGCTTTTTTCCTTAGTGGTTTAAAGCCTGAGGAATCTACATTTGCTCAAAAAGCTTTGGGGCTGTCCTCTGTGGAGGATGAGTTGTTACACATAGTGCTGCCTAAAGTGGAGGAAAGTCTTTAATCTAGGCCAGTGCCTCTCATGGTGGATATCTTCCACAGAGGCCTTGGAATAGCACAGTCTGTGCTTATGGCAGCTGTGCTATCACGTGCAGAATTGAGAATCTGTGTGCAGTTGCTGATGACTGAGACACAATGGTGGTCTTCTGTTTCAAAATTTCTTCTTAAAAAACTTCTAAAGAATGGATATTTTAGATATAAAGTATTGGATCATCTTATATTTTGTATTGGTAACCTTCTTCTGATCTCCACAGATGTCAGTAATAAAGAATTCTCTACCTTAGCCACATGATGCAAGATTGGGAGGGGGTCTTTGTTATGCTTCCCAAATAGGACTCGCTAGCTGAGGGGGCGGCAGGGAACCAGTGACCAGAGGTGCTATCCTATCGTATTTCATTGCAATCAGACTTGCTGAGGGGTAAGAGCAGTCACTGGCCTGAGTGATTGGATTGTTTTCTTAACTGGAACAAGATATCTCTGTAGTTCTCTGTTACCTGAAAGCATTCAATTGAGTCTTCCATGTTCTGCAGCTTCTCACAATAAAGAATGGCTCAGCTGTCCCATGGACCTCAGGCAGAAATCTTGTAGCTGTTATTATCTTGTCTTCCTCGTGTGTTTCAGCTCTTGGCCACAGTCACATGATCTTCCACGGAAATTGCTCTGGGCTTTGTCTGGCATCTCAGCTAGTTAACTGCACTGTCTCAGTTTGCTAGTAAAAGCTTGCCCTTAACTGCAAGTGTTTATGGATCCCTGTTTGTAACAGTTTGCAAGGGGCTTGTGTTATTCAAGGTTCAAAGCCCATTCTTGTTCTCATCAGCTGAAAGCGCTGTCTGATCTCATTTCTCCCGGAGGAGAGTCAGTAGAAACAGTGTTGTTGACTCAGTTGCTTGCTGTACTCACTGTAGCCAAATGAATGATAGTGAGAACTTCCTCTTGAGGTTACTGGAGGCATCAGGATGGCTGATGGAAATTGCTTAGATGTTCTCCAGGTTCTCAAGCCAGGCTTTGTTTTGATACAGTAGCCCCAGTTAGAGCCTGACTTGTGAGTGAAACTCTTAGAGCTACTTTGGTCAGTCACAGAATTGCTCCAGTAACTTAGAATTACCCTCCACCAAAACCTGCACGTGCTGGTTTCTGGGCAAAGGATACGGTCATCACCCACCTTGACTAGGGATAGGAAGCATTCAAAAATGCTTAGCTGGATGTGGTGACAGAAAGTGTGCAGTAGAATAAACTTGTCCTTTAGTGCCACTTAGTCACAACTTGTGTGGAGGTGGCAGAGACTAAGCATGTGGGAAGTGTAAAGAAATACTTATTTCCTGTCCCAAAGAGTTCCTATTTCATGGCAAGGGGGGTGCCTTTATGACTAACCTGGCTCAGCTCACTGAGAGTATCCTCCAATTTTTAAAATGTCTAATCTGCATTTGTAGCAGGCTGCTTTGTAAGACAGTTCAGTATTTCAGCAGAGCTGTGCTTTAATACCTTTTTTCTTCTTTGTCTTCTAGAGCACAGAGTTCTCAGAAACCCCATCGCCAGACAGTGACTCTGTGAACTCTGTAGAGGGACACTCTGAGCCATCCTGGTTCAAAGACATCAAGTTTGATGACAGTGACGCAGAGCAGATTGCTGATGAAGGAGAAGATAATTTAGCCAGTGAGTTTCACCTGAGTCCTGTTCTCACTTTGCCTTCTCCCCTGCTATCCCCAGTCCTTCAGGATGTAGTAGTTTAACCGTGTCTTGCTTTATATGTGTGTGTGTTTGTGTGTGTGCACATGGGGCTGTAAGGATCTAAGAAAACTATAACCTAGCTAGTCCTTCTATTTCTTATGATGGATACAGTATTTTGTATTTAGTGGAAGTGGTAAAGCTTCATACTTCTAATGGAGGAGAAGCATGTAAATTGCTGCCTTTTGTTTCTCAGGCAGATTTCTGCTTGATTTGGGCCCTATAGTAATGCACTAAAGAATGCCCAATATGTCAGCATGCACACATGAAGATAAGATTAGAACTATGAAAATACTGTATTCCTGTGGTATTGCACGCTAGTCTTTATGTATTAAAGACAATTTTTCTCCTTTCTGGTACCCTCATGATACCCATTTGAACCCTTCTCCTCCCTATATCTTCCCCCTTACCCAACACTAAAAGACTCTGCCAGCCCTAGCAAGCGCACTTCAGTCAGCAGCTTCCAGTCCACAATGGACAGTGATTCAGCCGCCTCCATCAGCCTGAACGTGGAGCTGGACAACGTGAACTTCCATATCAAGAAGCACTCCAAGTACCCACATGTGCCCCCTCACCCTGCCGACCAAAAAGGTATGAGGTAGTCATCAGCTGGAGTTGCACATGATGGAGAGCTGGGCCCTAATAATACTGACCTATTTAGACACTACTTTTGTAGCTGTCTTACAGAGGGGGAAACATGATATTTAGCTGGCACTCGCTTGCAGTTTTGATGCGCTCACCTCTGAGGAGGCTCAGTAGACCTGTTGAAACACCTTCTCTGCAGAGTGTGTAACTTCCCCTGTGACTTTCTCTTTGCAGTTGAAGCAAAGTCTCCTGCCCATATGTAATAGGGCAGATCCACATATACAGTTTCTGGCTAAATGGGGTGGAAAATAGTCTGTGCATAAACCAGTTTCATAGGTGTCTCTACAGTTTGAGATTAAACTGGAAAAGCAAGCAAGAAAAAGAACCCCAAACAACAAATGAAAAAAATTAACTTGGAAGAACTCTGTACTGACTTCTAATTGTACCTTAATAAGCTTACATTTGACAGAAGAATCTTACTGATGAGCAATGAGGCCAAACTTTATATATGTAACATTTGTTCAAAAGAGAGCGAAGTAGGAAGAAATCAGAAACTCAGTGTTGAAGACTTATTTTGAAAGTTTTTTCTCCTAAATAAGTACTAAATTGAAAGCCTCTAACTATAAGCAAAATCCTTATGTGAAAAATAACACACCTGCCTGCTGACAACTCCATTATCTAAATTCAACAAGAGCTGACTGAAGCCAGGGCTTGCCGCTGGCTTGGGACTAGTATATTCTAGTTGCTTTACATGCTGGGTAGCAATTGATGTCTTTGCTCCGCTTCCTTATGTAAGGTTAAATCAGCTTTGTAGACTTCTATCTTTGACTGTTTCTAAGGAGTTCCTTATTCTTAATTTTTGTTTCACTCCACCCCTTCAGTTTTTCCAACTTTAAAAGATGATCCAGTGTTAAATAATTTGACTCCTAATGAATTATTTTTCTATAAAGCCTAATGGATTTCTTCTGTTGTTGTGGATCAGAATGCAAGACTTACCTTATGCTTCAATACAGATTCCATTTTCTGAAACTGTGAAATGGTCACTGAAGAGAGTGAGGGAGGAGAACTGGTCCCAAGCTGACTTTCAAAGTATGTTAGACGTGGGGAGAGAGTGAGGCAAATTAGAGAGGGCATTTATCAGTGCCTATTGTAGTCACCTTTTATTTGCTAAAATTATGTCTAAAAGAAGGGAAATAGAAGCATAGAATGGTTTGAGCTGGAAGGGACCTTAAAGATCATCTAGTTTCAGCCCCCCTGCCATGAGCAGGGACACCTTCCACTAGACCAGGTTGCTCAAAGCCTCATTCAGCCTGGCCTTGAAACTTCCAGGGGAGGGGGTATCCACAACTTCTCTGGGGAGCCTGTTCCAGTGTCTGACCACCCTCACAGTGAAGAATTTCTTCCTAATATCTAATCTAAACCTACCCTCTTTCAGCTTAAAGTCATTACCCCTTGTTCTATCACTACCTGCCTTTGTAAAAAGTCCCTCCCCAGGTTTCTTGTAGTTATTGGAAGGCAGCTGTTAGATCTCCCCAAAGCCTTCTCTTCTCCAGGCTGAACAGCCCCAACTTTCTCAGCCTCTCTTCATAGGAGAGGTGCTCCAGCCCTCTGATCATCCTCGTGGCCTCCTCTGGACTCATTCTAACTGGTCCATGTCTCTCTTGCGTTGAGGGCTCCAGAACTGGACACAGTACTCCAGGTGGGGCCTTACAAGAGTGGAGTAGAGGGGGAGAATCACCTCCCTCAACCTACTTATTGTTTCCCCCAAAGAGAGGGCTAGAGCAGGTTTGAAATTTGAGTTGATGTCAGATTACTCAACAGGAGGGGATGGGTTGTCAGTGCTACTGACACCAGCTTGTTATTGATTCCTTTCAATGTGTTTCCAGCTGGTGCCCTAATCAAATGAAAAGCTAATACATCTGCAGGGAAGGAAAGGAGTGTAGAGGGAGGCTATATCAATTAATTCCCTTTAGGAAGGAGGGATGCTGGATTAAGTGAGCTTGAAACAGGCTCAGGTGTGCTGCAGTATCCTATGAATTTACAGCTGTAGCAGGTTTATCTTTATCAGTGTGTGTTGGCTGTAAAGCAGGCAGTAGTCAGTTTGGCTCTGGCCAGTGTTAGAGGACTTGTAGAGTGATAGTCCTGCTTTCAGACATATCTCAATCTTAATCTCTTTATACAAAACGTAGTACATGATGAAGGGGAAACGTAAGAGAGCCTACCTCTCTCGGAAACTGTTAACCAAATCAAGGGTTCTCATAGCCAGAACTGAAGCTCTTGTGAGAAATATTTTGATGATGGAGAGCTCAGAGAAGATCAGCAGAAAAGGCAAGTGGTGAGGGAACTGAAAGGAGAGAGATTTCTGCCTTTGGGTTATATATGTTGTTAGCACTCTGCTATCTTTGGTGAATTTCTGCTGACTGGTGTTTGTTACCTGTTCCTGAAATGTGTGGTCTCTTAACTAGGTTATTCTGTAGGAATGTAATTTGTAGTAGAAAACTGGGAACAATTCCTTTTAAGAAAATGGATTTCCCTTGAGGAAGAGGTACCAATAATGTGCCCAGAACTGGGATAGGGTGGAGATGTGAGTCATTAAAATACACTTTGGAGAAGTAGGTATTATCCTGTGCAGTTTTCTTGAAAAATCTGTATCCTCTGCAAGTACAGGGGACTTACTGTGTGTCTTTTTTGGATTCCTGCCATGAAAGTCTCTAGAGGAAAAACCTAACCAGGGAGCAACAAGTTAAAATGAATTGGCATCTTGAAGATCAAGAAATACTTCTTGGCAATAGGGAGACTGAAATTTTATAGGTACTTAGATGTTTGATATTCAAGGCTTTCAGAAATTAGATGAGACAAAACCTTACAGTGCATACTGCAGTGCCAAGGGTAGTGAAATAGATAACTTTTAGAATTTTGTTCTGGAAATATCAAAGTCGAGGTGCAAAGACTTTTACCTTGTGTTCCTGATTTATCCTGGCTATGTTCAACAAAAGATGCTATCAGGATGTTACAGAGTATTGCAATGATAATTAAGATTCTGTGTAAAATGGGACATGGTTATTTTAAGAACAGAGTACTGTAGTCAGTCAGTGACATGATGTGTTTGCTGTTGTCAGGGGTCAGCAACTTCCCTATGACCAATATGGCCATGTGTATTTGGCTTGATTTCATTGGAATTGTCTTTTGCCCTTAAAATGGATGACAGTGACTTAATTTTCTTTGAAATAATGAGGTAAAACATTACGCCCACATTTTGAGGCTAGTAACTCAATTTCTTCACAACTGTGTGCATTGCAGTCATTGGGGGAGGACTGACAGGATGAAACACCAGTGCTAGAAGTGCAGAGCAACTTTGATCTCTAAGTGGTTAGTGGGTTTCTTCAGATGGTTAAAGGATATGCAATTTTCACCAGTCACAGAGGTCAGCTGCTTTGAAGCAATGGCCTGGGATGTATCAGTGGTGTTTTAGAACAGAGTGGTTTGTATATAATCTGAATCTAATGACAGAACTTCTTGTAATGTTATAGGCTGACTAATGTCTGGTGTGTTTCCATTAAATTCTAGTGACTCCAAGTTAGCTGGCTTGTAGTATCTTCTAAGTGAGTATAGTGACTCATATATACTATCGTCTGCCTATAGACAGTGGTACTTTGTAGTGTGTATCAAGATGGGAAACAAAGCAAGATTGCTTTCTGCATTTAAATTGAGGGAAGAGGTTAAGTAACTTATTTTAAATGTGGGTTTTAGTTGCTGTTTTTAAAGTGATACAGTTAGCAGTATGTGAAACGTTATTTTCTAAATATCCTTGCAGCCAGATATCCTTGATCCTGGTAGCAGGTATTTTGGGTAGTTAGTTTTAGATGCCTGCATCTGGTTAGTTAAGGGAGAGAGAATAGGACCTGACTAACCATGACACAGTTCCTTATCAGCATTGCTTGCCAAGGCTTAGTGTGCCATTGCCAGGAGTCCTTTTGGTGCGCCTTCTCTTGAAAAGGTGTACCTCACTTCTCAGTAAATATCTATGGATCCATGCATCCCTGATTGTGTATTTAGAGGAAAAGCTGTGGCTACTGGCCAGCCTGTTTTGCTGTTTAACCAGAGCAATCTGTAAGGTGTATAAAGTCTGTACCTGCTGGTTTCCATTGGAGACCTGTGAATTTCTGTGTGAATTGTCGTATTTGCTTCCAATGATGCCCTTGAATATCAGACCTAGGAATCCATATGTTCTGGGGTGGGGTTTTATTTTTTGTTGTTGTTGTTTTGGTGAAGCTGTTCAGGGGAGTTGGTAGGATAGTCTCTTCATACCCGACTGCTTGCAGACAAGGCTACAAAATATGCTACAGGAACCTCCTCCCTCTGCCCCCAACATTTTGTGGAGCATGATGCATGTGGGGATGGTGTGAGGTAAGAAATGTGCGTGTTAACCACTCTCACCATCTGAGTGTGTTATCTGTCCAGTCTAGGAAGAGGTATGGTGTCTTACCTTGTCAGGAACTTCCCCTGGAGCACAACTGGAAGCAAAGTTATAGGAGGTGAAGCTGTATTGAAGAGAAGTGTTCATTGTTTGGAGGTGCCACCTGTGTCTTTGTCCAGAGCATAACTAAGGCTAGGTTTCAGCTGAGGTTAACTCCTGCCTTTGCCTAGCAGTCAGGCATATGTGTCAGATCTAATTTGAGTGTGTTCGCAGTAAGAGCTGCTGCTGTGAGGCTGTTGCAAGGTGGAGAGGGATGGAGGTGCTATTGTACATGCTCATGTGTAGGTATGGCATGACATGACTTTCTCTAGGTAGTCTGTGGGGCTGTGAGTGAATGAGTGCTGAGAGTGAGCCAACTTTTGTCAGGCAGTAGGTTGCCTGTAATGCTAAATTCTTCATCTAAGCAAGAGATGAAAGGAATCTGCAAATAACCATCAAGCTCCAAGGAAGGCTTGCAACTTCTCTTCGGTACATTGATCATCTATTGAGTATCTGTTTGCAAACTGGGCAACTGCAGACAAGCTTGGGTTTTTAAACTGG